CGAAGCGTTGCTTGCCTCCTTGCCCAAGCCCAAAGTTACGCCTTCCACCGCGCCCGCTGCGGCGCCCGAAAAGGCAAAACCACAACGATTGACTAAAGAGGAGGAAGCCTACCGTGAGAAGTGGTCTCGATTACTAGATATGATTAGCAAAGGTCGTTCAGAGCCTCTCAGATCCTTCTGGGAGCGCGAAGGCGCTTCCCTCGGTGGCGTCGATGCCCTAATACCGGAATGGACAGGGGATAGGCGCGCATCGTTGCTCCAGGTCGCTGTGCAATCAGGCCAGGAAGATGTTACACGCTGGCTACTGTACGAACTGCACGCCAATCCAACTATCATCATTCCGTCTTCAGACGTGTATCAGGCAGACAAAGCCGCGAATGAATCTGACGCATCGGACGCGCCTCCTCTACAAGGGGCAGGTTCGCGTCGTACTGCCTATGACTTGGCCCGTACAAGAGCAGTCCGTGACGTCTTTCGCCAGTGCGCGGGAGATCACCCTGACTGGTGGGACTGGTTTGGGGCGGCACGTGTCCCGAGCACCTTCAACAAGGAAAAGGAAGAAGCGAGGGACGAGAAGAAAAAACAAAGGAAGAAAGGCCTGAAAGAGAAAATGCGGGAACGGGAGGCCAGAGAGAGAGAACGGGAGGGTAAACAGTCTGACGTCGATGACGAACAGGTGGAGACAAAGCCGGAGCCTCGCTCTCAAGACCCTACCGCTTCCCGAAAACTCGGAGGTTCGTCTGGCGCAGCTGATGGCGTTCTCGGTTTAACTGTTGAGTTGAGGGCAAAGGTGGAGCGGGAACGAAGAGCCCGTGCGGCTGAAGCACGGTTGAAAGTTCTTACTGGAGCGCGATAGTAGATGCAGTCAATAATTTTACAAGTCTGATGGAACAAAATTATATAACCGAAATGAATGAGAATGGATAGTATTGGGCCACATATGCCAGTGGGATCCCTGCCCTGGCCAACAGACTCTGGTGAGTGCACTGCTGAGGTATGGGTGTCAAAGCAAGCTTTTTTGTTGACTGACTGCCATGGGGCACAGTGCTTCATATATAGTGTGGATACAGATGTGACTTCCAACACTTCAGAATTTGCTAAGCCTAGAGATGTCCTGTGAAGAACGACCATTACTCAAAATTGTGTTCAGCCAAGGATGATGCCACGAGTGTCAATGACCCGGGTAACGAGTCTGCCAGCCTAACTGTGATGGGAGTGTTGGAGTCAGACACAGTCAGTCATACTACAAGCGCAAGCGCCAACGCTGACTACATCAGGAAAACCCTCCCCCAGGAAATTACTTTAAACTATGATAATTCTCGGTAATCCTCTTGAATTATCTCAAATTATGGGCTTTAGAATGATTACTTAGTTTAGAAAGACTTTTTTACTCCCTTGTATATAAAGGATAATTATCATGAATTCAAAGGCAATATCGAGAAATTCAGAGAATATATTTCGAACGTAGCATAGCGAATCGCGCACATTAGATGGTATTACGAGCAAAAAAGACTAATATTTGATCAAAGGATATACATAACACAGCCAACTTGGAGGACTAGGCAAATTAAGGTGTGATACACGAATCTGGGATGTTTACAGGTATAGATCAGCATGAATACAGGACCTAATCATCTGCCATTCCATCCAGGTCGAGTAGCCCCAGTGCATCTCGATGCTCATTAACGAAATGATCGTTCCCCTTCCGTTTCAAGGTCCTTCGAGTAGCAGAGTCAGTATCCGAGTTGAAATGGCACCATGAATACCTGTAAAACTTACTGTACAGCTTCGTAAATATCAGCCATCATGCAATGAAACTTTCCCGGTGCATCCCGCTTCAAGTCCTCGAGGAACTTGACATGAAACACATACGTCTCGCTGAATTGATTCCCTGTAAAGTTAAACTTCCCTGGTGAGCCGAGTGTCTTCCAGAAAAGGGCTGCATAGACCTGTAAAACGAATCAATATAGCACAGAGATTGGTAGAAAGGATGGTACCGCTGTTGCCACAAGTGCGAGTAACGGAATGGGGCATTCAGGACGATTGCCCTTGTTGTTCGCCAGTTTGGCAAAGCGCTCGACGAACTTGATGCCGATAGACTTCGGACCGCTAAAGACTGCCTCGTATATGAGAAAGATCAGCAGGTCACCCTGGTAGGGTTTTTTGCCTATGGGTGAAGCATCGTCGTTCAACTGTTGATGAAGAATGTTAGTCAGAGGCTAGCAGCGAAGACCGAAGGACAAATTTACTTACATCAAACTTCAATGCATAGATATACGCATGCTGCTCCATCAATTTCTTTGCCTTGACCACATTATTGCTGAGCCGAAAGTAAGTATCAATGTTGGTGCACGCGGCGACTTTAAGGTCACGGCGCAGTAACGGAATGCGAGGCTCCACCTCAAGTAATGAAAGATAGTTAAAACATAAGAAAAATTGAGACACGCAAAGGACTTACTAAACTAGCGAGGTGAGCCGCATACTGCGCATCGGTTTGAAGACGTTCTTTGATGGCGTGTACTCCACGATTCGCAGCCACTGTTAGTAGAGACTGCAGTGCAACTTGGTTTTTGTCGACTAGCTCAGGATAAGCATCGACAAAGATGATGTAACCTTTGGCATCAATAATCGCATCCCGCACTACTCGCCGAGTCTCGTTATTTTGATCAAGTAATTTGACATGTCCCTTCTCCGTTCGAACGAGAGCAGCAACGGTCTGAGCCGATCGAGTCAGTGCAGAGTTGGGTTCCGGAGCACCTTCGACATCGCTAGAGTAAGGCTCAGAGGACTCGCCACAAGCAGTAGTGGTTCCGTCAGTGGACTCAGCGTTGTCGAAATCGCGCCAGGTTGGAATCTAAAGATTGTGTCAGTTCAATACATAGTATACACCATGACTCACCTCTGCAGCTTGTTTGGCATCATGGGCAGACTGGGTTTTGCCACGGGATTTAACCTGCGTTGACTTCAAGTTGACTTTAACGTTGCCGACAAGCGAAGGGACCTTGAGACACGCCGTCACCGTGACTGTGGTGAGTACTACAGCTTATATTGAAGTAAACAACTTTCACTCACCTCGTCAGAGAGCATCATGGCGGTTGACTCCAGATCCCCAGGCTCACCCTCACTCTCCTCACGGTCAGCGTCAGAATCGCTACCATTTTCCTCCTCCTGATCTTCGTCAGACTCGAATAACGCAGAGACGTCACGCATGGCGTATGTGCGACAGAGTTTGCGAGGACGACCATAAATGGCTGTCACGTGTACACGGTCATGTGAGTAAGTTACGCCATCATCATCATGACTAACCTTGAGGCCTCTGAGGCTTATCACGTTCCAAGTCCGCAAGGCTGCCATCAGATTCTTCGCCATCCTCCTCCTCGTCTTCTGTAACACTGGCGCTGGTATGTTTGCGCTCTATCATGGGCCACTAAGGTTAGTACCAATGTTTATGTTTCATTTGTGACTCACTCAGTTTCGCAGGTACTAAACCTTTGTTGCTACGAGCAAGGCTGGCAGTGGTTGGCGCGGGATCTACTTTCAAGTTTGTGCGCGGCACATTAACTGATTCGAGGTGAGTAGTTGGCTTATATGGCATCAAACAAAGATCACCGATGCTGATCTTTTTCTCTTTGACTTGTTTAGGCTTCGCAATGGCAGCTGATGGTGGGTCTGGAGACGCCTCAAGTTGACGAGCGACTTTCCTTGCCGACTTAGTAGGCATCCATACTCAAGTTGGAGGTGAGTATCAATTTTCGGTCAAGACTCGCATGCTTACCTGCATTTTCCATAGCCTTTTTCTTTGCATTTCGCGGCTCTATGGACACCCAGTGAGTCTACTACGCTGATGGTGAGTTGTTGGCGTGGACTCGTCACTCACCACGAGACTGAGGAGGTGCGGACATTGTATATAGATTGAAAGGTGCGACAACAAGCTAACGAAGAACGTTGGAAGGAAAAAGAGTCGAGCCTCAGACTCGGAGGGCTCCGTGAAATTTTAGTGCGTGGCCCCAGTTTCAAGGGGCGTCGCCCAGGGAGGCAGTTGAAATGGTGAGCTCATTCCATGCGCCCAGGTTCATATAAGCTGACACTCGTTACCTCAGGTGTTCATTTGTAACTTTGTTTTGAAATTTTCAAAGGACGGCCAGGATTGTCTGGCGCTTATCAGTGCTGGAATCAACAACCACATCACGGCCAACCAGCACTGGAATCAACAACCGCGTCACGGCCATCCAGCACTGGAATCAACAACCGCGTCATGGCCGACCAGCACTGGAATCAACAACCGCGTCACGGCCATCCAGCACTGGAATCAACAACCGCGTCATGGCCGACCAGCGCTGGAATCAACAACCGCGTCATGGCTGACCAGCGCTGGAATCAACAACCGCGTCACGGCCGACCAGCTGGTTGTACAGGCCCTGGATTACCTGAACCCCCCTTGATTAGGTTAGTGGGATGTCCTCATGGTGCTGTCGTTACGGTCTCACTCCCCAGAAGTTTTCGCTCCCTGGAAATTTTAGCATCGCGCACTCAAGGTATATCGTCTTACAAGGTGTATTGTTCATTGGAGACTGATCCACCTCCTCTACTCTAGTTCTACTCACACTCAAGGCCCTTATCTCCAAGATCGCAGCAACATAGCTATGTCCACTCAATGCCCTGCTTGTTCCCGTGACGATTTCACGGTAACTGGTCTCAGTCAACATCTGGCCAAGAGCCGCAACCCACATTGTCGAGCACTGTACCATCAGTCGCGCTCCCAAGTACATACCAGGGACCAACGAGATGAGCCTGACGAGCCGACTGCAGAAGACGAGCCTGGGTACGAGGTTGACGAGTTTGGGTATGAGATTGACGAGCCTGGGTACGAGGTTGACGAGCCTGGGTACGAGGCTGAGGCTGGGGGCGAGGCTGAGGCTGGGGACGAGGATGATGATGAGGGGTGGAATTTTGAACCTGAATGGGAGCCTCCCGTTGAAGATCGAGTCGAGGACGCGACCATGGATGCCATCAAGGATTTGGCCGATGAAGATGAAGCTGGCTGGGAAGATCAACGCCGTGCTCACCAGGATATTCAAGCACGTGTGCAAGGGCAGCGTGGTTGCGTGGTGGTGCCCTACCCAGATCTGCGTGCTGGTCAGCAAATAACACACGGTTGTGCTGCAAACGCAGAATACGAGGCGCATCTGGCCAATGAGGAGGAGAATGTGTATCACCCTTTTGCATCCAAGATGGAATGGGAGGTCGCCAGATGGGCCAAGCTTCGTGGTCTGAGTTCGACGGCATTGTCAGATTTGCTTGCAATCGAGGGGGTGAGTTGGATACTATTTGTTCCGAAAGTTGTTGTACTAACTAATGATTTTGATTCTCAGATCAGTGAACGCTTATCACTCTCGTTCAAGAATGCGAATGAGCTGAACGCTATTGTCGACCATGGGCTTCCGACTGGCCGTCCTAAGTTCAAACGTGAGCAGATCGTGGTCGCTGGAGAAGCGTTTGACATCTATTATCGCGACGTCATCGAATGTGTCAAGTCGTTGTATGGTGATCCGGACTTTGCCAAATATCTAGCATTTGCGCCTGAGCGGCATTATTCTGATGAAGACGAGACGATTCGTCTCTTTCATGATATGCACACCGGCAAATGGTGGTGGGATACACAGGTACGAATGACATTATGTCTGTATGAGATATGATACTTACAATACTTTAGAAAAAACTCGACAAGGATAATCCAGGCGGCACCATCATTCCCATCATTATCTCGTCCGACAAAACACAAGTCACATTGTTCCGCAACAAGTCCGTCTATCCTGTGTATCTCACCATTGGCAACATCCCGAAGGAAATACGACGCAAGCCTTCGCGTGGGGCACATATACTTCTAGCTTATTTACCTTGTACACGCCTTCAGCATATCACCAACAAAGCTTCACGCCGCCGGACTTTGGCAAACCTTTATCACGCATGCTTGCGTCGTGTTCTCGCTCCGCTGAAGTCCATAGGAGTAGATGGACTTCGTATGGCTAGTGGGGATGGTGCCCTCCGCCGTTGCCACCCATTATTTGCCAGCTTTGTGGGTGACTACCCAGAACAGCTTCTTGTGACTGGGATCAAGTTTGGAGAGTGCCCAAAATGCGACGTGGACGCGGACGACACGGGTAGCAACACGGCTCCTTTTCATCTACGGAATCTAACCAAGGTGCTAGATGCCCTCGCTGCCCTTGACGAAGGGAATCTATCATTTGTACGTGCTTGCGCGGCAGCAGGCATCAAGCCCATTGTCCATCCTTTCTGGGAAGATCTCCCATTCACCAACATATTCCGTGCAATCACACCAGACGTGTTACATCAATTATATCAAGGCTTGATAAAGCATCTCTTAGGTTGGTTATCAGCCGCGTGCGGAGGAGCCGAAATTGACGCTCGGTGTCGCCGTCTTCCTCCCAATCACCATATACATTTGTTCAGCAAGGGTATCACCTGCTTGTCGCGTATAAGCGGAACTGAACACGCTCAAATCTGCCGTTTTCTCCTTGGCATCGTCATCGGCATCCGTTTGCCCAATAATCTAAATGCGGGCCGTCTTCTACGAGCAGTGCAAGGCCTACTGGACTTCCTCTATCTTGCTCAATATCCATGTCATAGCTTGGAGTCACTACAGCTCCTGGATGACGCACTCGACCTTTTCCACAAGAATAAGGATATCTTCATTGACCTCGGTATCCGTTCTAATTTCAATTTACCTAAACTGCATGCCGCTCGCCACTATTCTGCCATGATTATGATGTTTGGTACGACGGACAACTATAACACTGAGTATACCGAACGACTTCACATCGATTTCGCGAAGGACGCTTACCGTGCTACAAATCACAAAGATGAATTTGTGCAGATGACGCGGTGGCTCGAGCGCAAGGAGAAGATTATGCGCCATGACAAGTATATCAACTGGCGATGTGCTGGTGCCGAAGAGACTATGCCTTACCATTCGCGCCCCCCCAATATGACTTTTCGTCGGCTTCAATCTGTTTCAAAGCACCCTACTGCAAAGGCCGTCAGTATAGACAAGCTCATCGAAGATTACGGTGCTACCTATTTCCGTGAAGCGCTTGCACGCTATATCACTCAACTCAATCATGCCAGTGATCCTATCCCCCTCCGTAGTCAAACACTGGATGTGTTAGCGCAGGACGTCCATTTCCCATTCCGAACTCTCCCCGTTTTTCACAGGGTAAAGTGGCTCTCAGTAGACGCTCGTGGTCACGGTGATGCAACAGCCACGTTGGACTCTGTACATGCCAGACCACAATGCAACTCAGGGTCGAGTCTGCGGCCTCGCCGTTCAGATACTGCTCTGGTGAGTATTTCTGGGAATCCAGATGTTGTTAGTATAGAAGGTACGTTTCGCCACCACTATTTGCTAAGGATGGAGTCACTCACAGTCGTCTGAATCTAGGAGTCCGCGTTGGGCAAGTGCGAGTCATTTTCTCGTTACCCTCAAAATCAGTTCCACTCCTGTTTTCGCCAACAGTCAAGGTTCCCACTCACTTCGCTTACATCGAATGGTTTGAACCATTCACTTCGGTTCCCGATCGACATCACGGACTTTACAAGCTCTCGCGATCATTGCGCGGTGGTGAAAAAGTAGCAAGTATCGTGCCATTGGCCAATATTGTGCGTAGTGTCCATCTGATGCCGAATTTTGGAGCTGTTGTCCCGCGAGAGTGGACGAGTGATACGGTTCTCGATAATTGTAATACTTTTTGGTTGAATTCATACATAGATAGATATACTTTTTCTTTATTCAAATGATTATCGAGAATCTCATTGTGCTTTATCGTCTTTCAGCTAGTTTTATCTTAATACTTGTAATTACATAGAATTCTCTGAATTACATCGTTTTATCAAAATTATGTGTTTTTTCCTCCGGGAGGTTTTTCCTGATGTAGTGACTAATGGCTGGAACGGAGGTTATTTGTCAGCAACAGCGCTGAGCAAGAACAAAGTCAAACCTTAGAGCTTATGGACCAGTAACTTCATATTGGCGGATCAGAGTATATACTATACATGTACCTTACAAATGAGTCAGTTCAATTAATACCAAAGTCTTCCCTAGTCTTCTCTAGCTACTAGAACTCATAACCACAGGGAGTTGGTCTTGAATGATTATGTAACACTTCACAGACAATGTGGTATGTTTTGGCAGAGGCGAGAATCAACAACACCCTGCCATGGTTTTAGTCATTAGATATTTGAGGGAATTCGGTCAGCAATACATGGCGAAGACATTAGTCATCCTCGGAACTGCAGTGACAAGGTGGTCATGAATGTTTACCTATGTTTATTTCTGTCATGAAAAACACTGTTCAACTTTTTCAATCACCAAACTTCTGTTAGATGTCTGAGGTTGCTGGGCCCTCATATCTTCTCCTTTCCCCCATGAAATCCCTAATATTGCTCACCAAGTAATCAAACCTATGCCATGCGAGTGGGAAGGGTGTACAGTTATTCTCAACAGTTGGTCTAATCTGACAAAGGTGAATTTAGATCAGCTCTTGATCTACTGTAGATGTAGATACTAGTCATAGATGTTCTGATGGTGGTGTACTGAGCTGTACTCCTCTCCAGGGGTACTTTAGCAAATCTTCAGCTGTCATACTTTGCTCTCAAGTCAACAGTGCTGAGTGGCCATGCTGAAGGTTTTCTAAAGTGCTCTTGGAGTGAGTATTCACTCACTTTACCCATTTCATCTGCATCATCCTCCATTACTGGTCAGTGCTAATATATGCCTCCCTATTAAACAGCATACCTTAAGACATTGTGATCGCACATCTAACATAGTGAGTTTTCTTCACTCACAACTTACCTTATTTTGCTTATCTGCTGTACTTGCAGGAGGGACAGTACCAATGTCAATATCTGAGATGTGCAGGTCGTGTGCATGCCACAAAAGAGGCACTCAAAGCACATGTGGACCTCAGCCATCTGTCTCGTTTCACAATTAGTTGTCCAGTTCGAGGTATGTCTCACTCTAAAAATGGCAATCTACTTCGTTCTCAGCTTCGTCTTTTTCAGATTGTGAGCGAGTTTTTCCGCGAGCATCTCAACTCAAGTCTCACTTCGAGACTGATCATGAAGATCTCGTCAATATGCCCATGGCTCGGGCCTTTGACAAGCTCGTTGCTACTGCACCACCATCACGACGAATTATGACTCATCCCCCACCATTGCCGTCGCAACATAAACTACACAATTGGCAGTTCACTATTCCTCTCGTCTCACTGCCACCTCACAAACCATTCGGTTCACTCGCGTCGGCAGAACCAATTACCCGAAAATGGAGACGATTAGATGCGCCAGACGAGGATGACTCAGATTCGAACCACATCATTCCACTCGATGATCTGGTCCGCCCAGTACCGAGTCCGTCCCAGCAATCGAAGGAAATTGTCCTCAACCTACGAAGGAAGCTACCATTATTAAACGAGAACCAAAGGCTCTCGTATCCTCAATCCATGCCTCGCCCACCTCCGCGTGATGATTTCGTTCCTACGACCATCGGCATCTCCATCTTCGAGCGGAAATTTGGAGAGCTTGCGAAAGATGGAGTGGTCAATGGAGAAGTCTTGCGAATGTAGCGGTGAGAGACAGAGAACCATGGTTGTTGATTGGCTATTATCGTTGTCGCATCATGTACTGTTCGTCGTCGTGTACTGTCATCATTGTCCCATACAGCTACCGTGACTGGTGCTATACTCTACGCTGCAAATAATCGTAGTATTGTACTACCCTTGCTGCGGCGGATGTCTCAATATGACCTTTCTTTCTCGCTGTTTTTCCCGATCAGTCAGTCACAGCACGGGTTCTCGAGGTTTATGCATAATGCAACTGATTGAATACATTTTTCGTTCGGTGGACCCTGAGACTTGTGGGTTGCCCGTGGGCCTTCGCACTACTGTTCACGGCCCTTCCAATGGATCGGGCATAGCTGCCAATGTACAATTCTTGCTCGCTCGCGGATAGAGGACACAGACCAGAGGATAGAATATATCCTCTGAAAATTTTGCAGTTTCCTTACATCGCATGAATCATACCGACATGTAGTAAACATAAGAGCTATCATGCCGATGCGCGAAATATGGCTATAATAGAGCGCATAAACCTATACTCCCGGCATCTCATCGCAATTTTGGGTCTATGCAGCGTTTCCCTCTGCAAAGGTGAGGAGATCAGAATCTCCAGGATCGCTGACAGTCATGACCCTGAGATAATCCGTTTAGCTCGAGTGACGGATCGAAATATACGGAACCACTCACCCGACACGGAAAAGCTTTCCGGCAGCAGTGCCAAGTGCGACGTTCGTGCCAGAGAAGTGGTGCACGGTCGTCTTCGACAACATGGCATAGTATTCGAGCTCAGACTTGCGTAGTGGCGGGCAGTTACCAGCAATGAGAACGAGCTTGGCTAAATCATCGCGGATGCGAGGAGGACAAACACAAAGCAAATTTATTGTCAGCACAAGGGACCTTCTCAGCCTCACGCTCCAGTCCCCGTGAGTGCGAAAGAGTGCTCACCTTTGCCGCTGCGCATCTGCTTGAGG